GTAGGATTTGTAACTCCCAATTAAAATATTTGGGAGTTACATAAGAATGACTAATGACCTAAATACCCTTATCATTAATATGTAAGTTACATTTTAACCAAACCCAAAGATGCAACATTATTGGTTGATGTGGGTTAGCAAAGTTTGCACAAAATATTGGGTTAGTATTTGAACCACCCTCTATATGTATATGTGTGTATATATATAGAGAGAGAGAGTCTGGTTTATATAAAAACACTAGCAAAATAAAAGAAATAAGCAAATGATCGAATCACATGTAATATTTATAATAAAACCAAATAAAAGAATACAAAAACAAGCAAATCTTGTGCAAAATCACATATGATTTTACACCAACGGTCAAACACAAGGGTGTGCGGGCGATGTGGGCCAAACCTGAGCATGAATCTGCCCACACACCCTTGCCTTTGACCATTGGTGTAAAATCATATGTGATTTTGCACAAAATTTGTTTGTTTTCATGTTCTTTTATTTGGTTGTTGTTATCGTTTGAACCTTCTTATATGTAATACCTCAAATTTGGAAAGAGTGTCTAATTAAAATTTCCTATTAATACGTCGAATATGGATTTAAGCCCTTACTAAAAGTCCACGGTTGATTACCTATATTAGCAAACTAAGTTTTAATATCAATAAAGTAGATTCCCACTTTGACACAAATCTACATTACGGGATGGGCGACGTTATCTCCAATAATACGAAAGATGTCTCCCGGATATAGTGATGGCCAAACCGGCCCGGGACTGTCGAAGAACCGGAACCGGGACCGTTTGAGGGACCGCCGACAGGGACTGGTTATGCTTTTTGGAATGATTTGTGGGACCGTCCCGCCCCGCCCCGATGAGTTAAAAAAATAGCCCTTTTTTGACCTTTTTTCTTTTTGGTCTTTTTGGCTTTACAAAACGCAAAAAAACGTTCACAATTCTCGGTTTCTCGTTATATTTTATGACTTCAGCTCGTATTCATTCATTGCTTCCACTTCACAGTTCTTATTTCTTTCTTTCTTTGTCTTAGAAAATGGTTGGTGAACCACATGATGCATCAAACGAACAAGTTGTCCAAGTTCTTGTTAAGCATGGACGAAAATCCGAGATTTGGAATTCATACAACTTGGTGATCCTCACGAACGGGAAAAGAAAGGCACAATGCAAAATGTGTCAATCTCTTCTTATGGCAGAAGAAAATTCCGCTTTAAGGCGGCACAACCAAAAAACGTGCCCGGAGTTGAGGTCAGGGGAAATTCAAGTCAATTGAAACTAGACAATCAAGGTAATGGATGAATGTGACTGTCGTTCATGTTGATTCATTTAACTAAGGGTGCGTTTGGTGCGCAGACAGGACTGGACAGGACAGGACGGGACAGGACGGGACAGGACAGGACAGGACAGCTGTTCAGCGTTTGGTAAGACAGGACAGGACAGGACAGGACAGAACTGGTTAAAATGACCAATTTACCCCCAGTGAGTTGTTTAGTGTTTTTTTCACTACAATACGGGTTAATTACGAATACACAAGGTACAACACAGAAAGCTAATAGGAAAACGGCGAAACTTGAAGCTATATTATTCACAGTTTCCAAACAAAATCCCCAATTAACCTTCTTCTCCCCTAAAATGGCCCTAATTAGGGTTCATCTTCATCTGAATCTCCTTCCTCCACACCACCTTCTACAATTCACGAAATTCCAAACTCACCCGTTTCTCCACTGCCCCAACACCCCTCCAAAACTTCAAATCTCATGTTCCAGTTCCAGTTCCAATTCCAATTCAAGCAGCATCGTAGATATAGAGTTAGTGATGGATTTGGCAACGGAGATCGAAAAGATGAACGCCCAGACGGTACAAACTCAAGAAGCCATGAAAGCGAGCAGGAAGCTGCTGTATGCGGAGCTGGGGTTGTACCTTGGATTGGGAAAAGAGGAATTGAGGAGAAAATGGGAGAAAATGGAACAAGATGAAAAATGGATTTTGGCTGAAGAATTCGTTTCAGATTAGGGTTCAAATTTTCATCCGTTATCTGCTAGATCCGTTAAGGAATTGGTCAATCAACACTTGTTTGTTACCATTTCTTGATGATCTCCATGTTGTTAATCGAGTTAATCAAGAAGGGGGTATGCGATGAGCCGGGTGGGGAAAGGGTAGTCTGGTAAAAAGAGTTGTGTTCCACTTAGTTCCAGGGAGTAAAGGAGAACAAGCTTGTCCCACTCTTGTACTACCTAGTTCTACTTAGTTCCATATTAAGCCACACCAAACGTAGGACAAATCTGTTCTGTTCTGTCATGTCTCACCCTGTCCAGCGTACCAAACACACCCTAAACGAACAAAAAATGTGTTCATGTTTGTTCTTTACTAATTAAACGAACTTCCTGCTGAACATATCACGAACTGTGCGTTGAATGTTCAATTAAAATGGGTATATTACGAGCTTTTTAAGGATCATAATTCATAAAACTACGGAAAACTCACTATGTTAAAATTACATAAACTTATAAGATAATATCGAAAAACAAAATAAAAATATATTTTGCTCGTGATCACTTGAGTAACGGAACTAGTGACTTGACCCGGCATCAAGTCTACCATAATATTTAAGAGGGTGTTTGGGATTTGCTTATTTAAAAGAACTTCTTATGATTTTCTACAAAAATATTTGTCAATTTATTATAAGTTAGAATGATTTAACTTTTTCAAAAACTTATTATTACCGATTTAACACGATATAAATTGTTTATACAAACACTCAAAAATGCTTATTTCAATAAATTATTTTTTACCTGTCAATCTCGACGCCGCTATGAGAGGGTTCACCTGCAAGTGCAACCTTGGTGGCTGTTGGTGGCGTTCTACTTCCAGAAGCTCTTTTACACAAACCCTAATCCCATATTATACGATCATCCGGAAGAGTGGGATGTAAATGGCAGCCGTAAGGCGTATCCTTTTCTCCTCTCTATCTCATTCTTCATCGAATTACGCCACTGAAGTAGTGAATAATACAAAGAACAAGTGGATCTCTACAACCATCCACCTTAATCAGTCATGGATGAATAAGATCAAAGGTGCCTTCAGCGGCCAAAAGCCCACTTCACCTACCAATGAAGACGTCACGGCGGAATCATTCACTCTCCCTAGTAAGTATTGTCATCTGTTAGTTCCGATTTCTCCAAAATTAGACTCATTTTGCAAAATCTATGACAAAATCTCGTTTCCAGCTTTACACATATAGACAAGTGACGATTCTGTGGATCACTGTAATCATAGTTGAAAAGAAATGGCAAATTGAGCCAGAAACGAGTCTCTCTCTCTCTCTCTATATATATATACACATATATAAGACTCTTATATACATGTATGTGTCTGTGTAATATTTGGGTTGGAGCATTGACAAATTAAAAGGGAAAGTGGGGCTCTAGTCTTTTTGCTCTGTTGTGTAGTTAATACATACTTATAGACTTATAGTTAAGTGTTTGGTGATATGTAAGGGTTTGCTGATGAGTTGCAAAGGGCACAGAAGTTAGGTACCTTCAAACAGTACATTGTTGGCCGAAGCAGTGAAGCCACATATGCAGATGCATTTGGCAAGCAAGAGGCTATAATTCGGTTTCTTGGGGGTCTTGATCCCACTGGAGAGGTTGTCTCATACTAGTAATCATCACATTGCTTTCATTTTCATAACTTTCAAATACATAATATGTTACTTTTTAGTAGTAAACCTTTATAGTCTTGTTCCATGTATTGCTGCTATCTCAAGCATAACTACTTAGATGTGTTCCTCAAGAGTCTATTTTGATTATACTATCATTTCAGTTTGTTTGATAGACTGATTTGAGTTTATGTATACTGCAAATGTAGAATCTTCTACCTAGTCAAAAGCAAGAAGCAGCAAAACAATGCAATTGCACAATAGCTGATGTTGAGAATACTTTGGCTAAATTCAGTTGGGCTAAAGAAGCTCAGAAGAAAATTGAGAAGTTAAAGGATGAAGGAAAGCCGATGCCAAAGAGCATAAATGAGGTATTGCTTAGTTCTCTTAACTAGACAAGCTTATCCTATGTTTTATATCAGAGAAATGTGGTTGATGAATTTGATGGCGACCTATTCATGATATTAGCTAGACTTAATGGCATATGGGTTCAATTTGCATTGTTTGTACACTCTTTTCCCCCAATCCTTTCATGTCCATTATTCTCTTCCATATAGATGTGATTTTATTATATTTGAATGGTCAAAATGTGACAATGTTTGTGTGAGTTCCTTTTGATGATTTTTTTTTTCTCAATTGGTGTAAGAAACGTTCTATTTCTTACACATTTTGACTACTAATAGGTAGATCTTGCAAGTGTAACTCTTGATGACATGGATGCTAAGTTGTCAAATTATATTATAGTCCTTGATTACGTAGCCAAATGTAATATCAAAATCAATCGATGCCACTTTTAGGTTGACTACCCATTTCTTAGGTAAAATGGATATGATATAGGAAGAATTAAACGTTAGTTACACTAATTGAGAAAAAAATCATCATTACACTAAATAGGAACTTAGAAAACTTCGTTATATTTTGATGCATCTTGCACTATTTTAATTGTATATATTAAAATATATGATAGAAAAGAATTGCTGCCTAACTTTATATTTTTTACTATTGTCAAAGATACCACTTTGTGGTTTTAGCGAAGTGGTGAAAGAGAAAATCAACACACACAATTTAGATGCCAAAACACGACAAATAGGTAGAAACCTTGGTAAATGAATGAACCCTTAAGTTGTTAGCAACCACATGGATGGTGCAATTGGTGTCATAATGGATGCGGCACATTGAGGTCTGAGGCGCAAAGGTATCCCGAGCCAGGTGTGAGGCAAAAGGTAAGGCGTACCTGGTTCTAACGTCATATAGATTTTGTATTCTCATTATTTACATTTTTTTTCCAAAGAAGGAAAATACTATGTATTTTTGGTATTTAAAATAGGAGCAAGTAGGCAAGAGTTTGTTATTATAGCTAAATGGCATATGACATAACATAACATAACAAGAATAGGAAATGGCATAATTCCAGAGGAAATGGTTAGAAAGGAAAGGGAACAACTACATCTAGTTAGAAAGAAGCCAACTAGGAAGATCTTTTCAATATTGATGTAAATCTTAGTACATTGGTAGAACATAGGTATTTAGATACTTGGAATCTTCAAGGAAGGTACAAGTATGAAAAGGTGGGAGACTAGTATCTTTGAGAAATATAATCAAAATATAGTAGTACAGAGGTACTAAATTAAAAAGGATTAAACTAATTAGTTAGTATTACTTTCGTCTAGAAGCCATAGTCTAGGAACAATTTCATCTAGTTATGATTGAACTAACAAATGATAGGTTTAAGTACATAAGGTATAATGTATACAAAAAGGAAGCTTCTTAGCAACTTCCTAACACTCGCAAATTTATCTTTATTTAATGCCATATGTAAGTTAAGGGGGTTAGTACAATGTACACTTAATTAGCTTCAAAATAAGACATGGATAAATAGCAAGATAGCATATAGGATTGATCATGAGAATTTGTACTCTAAGTAATTATGAAAAGAGATTAAATGTGCTAATTATTGCGACTAACTATTTGATTGTGCTCTTAGTAAAATGAGAGCTCAAGACGAGGCCATGAGTGTGCTAAGTAACCCAAGCCTAATGAGTTCATAGGAGTAGATTCTAATTTATGAGAGAATGTGAGAGGTCAATGAGTTAAATCTTATAGTATAACTAGAGGTGTCTCTATAATTGATTTCTTCACACCAAAATTCAAGTAATAGCAGTTTTGTGAAATCGAAAGCCTTAGAGCATCTCCAACCAATTCCCTATAATTTCTTTATAAAAGAGAACCAAAAGTCAAAATCTCTATGATAAAGTACCTCCAATTCCAACAATTTCTCTATTTTAGAGATTTTATCGTTAATATAATTATTTGAATATTCTATAATTTTATGATCCCAATATACATTAAAAAAACCTTCATATAAAATAATATTAATTCAACCTCATTGGTGGAATGAATAAAAAACTCATTTCCCTCTACTTTAATGAGAGTTTTAGAGAATTCTCTATATTTGGAGTTTTTTCTATGTTTCTTTATTTTAGAGAACAAGATAGGGAATTTGTTTGGATCATTATAGAGAACAAAAACTCCATTTTCTTTATTTTAGAGAATCTGTTGTAGATGCTCTTAGCTTAGATATCTCGCGAGTGAAAAGAGAGTAAAGGAAAAGAACCTTGGATTCCGGTATAAGTTCTAGCTTAATGGTAAACTAAGTGGGCACAAAACTTGCTCTTGCATGACAAACAAATGACAATTTAGAAAATCAATAAAAAAATTCTTAAGTTTGAAGCTCAAATAGAAAAAGGGCCAGGCAATATATAAATAAATGTACCAATAAAATGGTCATCAGCAAAATAAATAATATGTTGAAAAGTAAACAAGGCATCTAGAGGGGTTTAAAGCATTCAGTGACTTCTATTTTCACTGCCTTCAATGACTTCTACTTTCACTGTTTGCTCACCGTTATGCCTTGCATAATCTTCTAATGTAAATTCTTATTCTTCATGGTTCTTGGTTCCTTGGTCACACTAAAATCAGGGGGCAAAACTAGGAATTGGGCTCTCTTGAATAAAAGTGTGCCGCAATTTTCCATCTTTTAGAGGTAAATTTTGTAGGTGTGGGGCTCTCTTGAATATGATAAGAACCAAAGGATTTGTTATTGAATTGCAATTGAAAGTGACGGTTACAGAGAGAGATCCTAGATTTCGAGAGCCAAGTTCTCAACCAAATGTGAAATACTTCACTAATTTCTGCCTTCCCTATTCTCCCCTTTTTCCCCTATTTATTAACGGCCCTAATAACCCTAGTTCTAATGGTCTTGGGCTTGGGGTTGGTTCCTAACATTACCCTGCCCCAGCGTAAACAAAGGCCTCTTGCTCTCTTATCTCGGAGTTCTTCCTCGGTTAATTTTCTGGCCATTTCGGGTTCCAGTTGGATGGTTGTCATAGGGGGGTTGCCCGAACCTTTTCCAGTTACTAGAGTACCCCCACGCATTCGGAAGTTTCTGGCTTCAACTAATTGGGCAGTCTCCATAATTTGGGCCAGACCTTGTGGCCGTAATAATTGAATTTCAGCCTGAATGCTCGGTTTGGGTCCATTCATGAAGTTACCTTCAAACACCTTCTCTAGGAGATCCGATAAAGAGGATGCTAAGAGTTCGAAGGAATGACGAAAGTCGCTAGCAGCACCTTTTTGTCGGAGGGCTAGAAGTTGTTCAAGGGTAGAATAGTCGTCTATGAGTCGGAAACGGTTGATGAGTTGTGACTTCAAATCCTCCCATATCAGAATTGAGCATCTACTATATACCCTGTGAAACCAAGCCAGTGCCTCTCCCTCCATACAAATCCCAGCGGTGGCGACCTTCTCCTTCTCTTCAAAGCATTAAGAGCGAAGTAAAGTTCAAGCCGAAATATCCACCCATCCGAATAAATATCATTAAACATCGGTAATTCCACCTGACACAATCTCCAATTGGCCGGAGAGAATCTTAGTTGTGGAGGTTTACCGGTTCCTCGTGGATCCGAGTGGACGAAGAACAGGGAATTAATACCCCATTTGGGTTGCGGTTCTGGACCTTCTCCCGAACCAGAACCTTGAAACGACCTTCCGGTCTGAGTGGAATTTTCGGATCCCGCTTGGAGTAGTGAATCCAGTTTGCCCATAATTGCTTGAATTCCCTTGTCTAGATCGTCAATTCGTTTGGTGTTTTCTGCCTTGCGATCACAAAGCGCTTTCACATCGGCTCTCATGGATTGCAAACTCCCCTCGACAGATTTCAATTGCCCTCTCATCGCCTGGACGGATTCCTCTAGCACATCGATGCATTCTCCTTGATTCTTTGGTGTCGTGGTCAATCAGGATCGAAGGTTCTGATACCAGTTTGATAAAAACAAAGGATTTGATATTGAATTGCAATTGAAAGTGACGGTTACAGAGAGATATCCTGGATTTTGAGAGCCAAGTTCTCTCCCAAATGTGAAATACTCACTAATTTCTGCCTACCTAATTCTCCCCTCTTTCCCTTATTTATTAACGGCCCTAATAACCCTAACCCCAATGGGCTTGGGATCGGGTTCGTGTTAAGCCACCGATATTGCATACATATTCGAGAAGGAAGAAATAACAGGGGTATTATGGTTTTTTTTACTTGGGCAGGAAAAATAGTGAAAATAGGTGGGAAAGAGTCTGTATGGTGAAGTAGGGTATTCATTCTTTTTTTCGATAACAATTCTGGTGGAGAGAAATCGACCTCTAGAAAGTCGATCTTTTGAAGAAATCCTATAACCCTACCTTTTTGGTGTGAATTGCAAATTGTTTTTTTAGTTACATGTAACAAATTGGTATCAGAGCTGTTTGAATCAGAGATGGCGACCCGATCAGTGACAAATCGAGTCGAAGATCTGGAAGGAAATATGGCGATTTTTCGTCACAAAATTGAATCGCTAGAAGGGAGTATGCAGGTGATGGTGCAACAGATGAGTACCATGATCCGGTTACAGGAGGAGGTGAGTCAATAAAATGTAGAAAATGGAGAATCATCGCAAGAAGGAGAAAGACGGACCAGAGTAAACAAACGATTGAATGATAATGGATCGTTTATTGCAATCAAAGGCCGAAGGTTAGAGATACCGGTGTTTGATGGATCGGATCCAGATGGATGGAAAGGGAACTCCTGCCGGCTTACTGTAGCCAATTCCTTTGCCGATGCGGGTATGGGATGAGGTTACAATGGATTTTGTGGAAGGTCTTCCGAAGTCCGAGGGAATGGATACCATTATGGTAGTGGTGGATAGGCTCAGTAAGTTTGCACATTTTATGACTCTTAGACACCATTCACCGCACCACAAGTAGCGTCAATATTCATCAAGGAAATAGTACGATTGCATGGAGTTCCCCAGATCATTATAACAGACAGAGATAAAGTGTTCCTAAGTCAATTTTTGAGGGAGATTTTTAAATTGCAAGGAACGAAGCTGTGTTTTTCTACATCTTACCATCCACAATCTGACGGTCAATCGGAGGTAGTTAACAAAAGTGTGGAACAGTATTTGCGTTGTTTTGTCTCTGAAAAGCCCAAACAATGGCGAAAGTGGCTTAATTTGGCAGAGTATTGGTATAATACTATGTACCATGCATCCTTGAATTGTTCCCCATTTAAAGCTCTGTATGGTAGAGAACCCCCTACTATTCTAAAGTACAGAGAAGGGACAACCCATGTCCAGGCGGTAGATGAGATGTTATTGGAAAGGGACAACATGTTAGATGATCTAAGGCTACATTTGATTCGTGCACAACAGAGAATGAAGGGTCAATCAGACATGCAATGTAGGGAAGATTCGTTTGAGGTGGGGGATAAGGTGTTTCTGAAATTGAGACCTTACCGACAACAATCTTTACGCAAACGATGAAATCAAAAGCCTTCTGCCCATTTTTATGGGCCTTTTGAAGTATTGGAATGCATAGGCAAAGTGGCATACCGTTTGGCATTGCCGGCAACTGCAAGAATACATCCTGTTTTTCGCATTTCACAACTTCGGCGTACCATTGGACAGAGTTTTTCGACTCAGATAATTCCCACCCAGCTGACTGAGGAGATGGGGTTACAAGTGGAACCCGAAGCAGTTTTGCAGTATAGAACAACGAGTGAAGGAAATTTTGAAGTTTTGATTAAGTGGCACGATTTACCACTGTTTAAGGCATCATGGGAAGATCGGGAAGCGATTAATGCACAATTTCCAAAATTTCACCTTGAGGACAAGGTGAACGATTTCGAAGGGGGTATTGTTAAGCCACCGATATTGCATACATATTCGAGAAGGAAGAAATAACAGGGGTATTATGGTATTCTTTTACTTGGGCGGGAAAAATAGTGAAAATAGGGGGGGAAGGGGGCTGGAGTATAAAATAGAGTCTGTATGGTGAAGTAGAGTATTCATTCTTTTTTTTCGATAACAAGTCTGGTGGAGAGAAATCGACCTCTTGAAAGTCGATCTTTTGAAGAAATCCTATAACCGTACCTTTTTGGTGTGAATTGCAAATTGTCTTTTTAGTTACATGTAACAATTTGGTGCCTAACAGAATCCTGAGGCCCATTTCTTCAAATTACAGCCCCATTACGGGCATTTGCATGTTAATTACATATATATAGTTTTCTTCTTGAGTTATTAAGGCTGAGCTACATTATACCCTACAATGTCCACATTAGAGTGACTGATAAATGACAGCCTATGTAAATTAGAGCTTTATTTTAGTTGCCTATGCAAAACAGTCAGATCTATAGTGCACAGAGGTTTTTTGGTTTTGCGCAATCCTCTTGCACCTTTTTTCCTGTTTGATTCTATGACAGGCTATTTTTTTCTTTTTGCTAATTGCCAAAAAATGATGTTTCAGCATATATATTGCTAATTTATTACGTGGATGGTTTATTGATGTTGAAGAAATTGGTTAACTGGACTTGTATCTTATGTACTTGTGTTCTGATATGTAAGATGTCAGATGAATTAATGGTGATTATTAGGATATGTTTAATATAATGAGTCTGTACTTCATCATTTCATCTTGCTTCAGTAAGGTGTGTTTGTGCACGTAACACCTAGGACCCACAAGACTAATTTGATTCTTGAACAACTATTCTGCATTGGTGTATACAATGTGTACTCTAGTAGAATTCAGGAATCCTGTAGATTTATTGTTATTTATACCTTTTTTGTAGGTCCAAAAGCTAATGGGATCAACACCAATGGATGTTGCTAAGTCGAGCATGGCGAAGAGTGGGCAAATAAGCAGAAATGCACTCTGCCCTTGTGGATCTAAAAAGAGATACAAGCGGTACGTTTTTTTAATTTATCATGGAGTATATTAATTCTCTTCATAAGCCAAAAACTCTATTTGGATTTGTCTTTGACGAATGACGATCAACCATCTGTTTACACTTAGCGTACTTCAATCACTCAAGCTATGTTTGGTAATACCCATGTTTTGTGCTTTCTATTTTACATTTTTTGTAATGTTAAAGGGTTTGTAATTTTGTTTTATAACACATTTAAAACGTGTTTGAGAATGCAATTCTTTTCATAAAATAAGATGAAAATAGAGAAAGATTCCATATATTAGGTTTGAAACCTTAACCTTATGGCCAATGCACCTTTATATTTAAGGAATTTTGTCAACCATTATACCATGCAAATAAGTTCACAATTGGTAACTCGCATGTACAAAGTTTGTAACCAATTTTGATTTCTTCTTGAAGTTATTGATTGATAGAAGGCAAATAGATTAACAAAATTAGCTTAGGGGAAGTGAAGGTTACTCTAAGGAAGATGGGTAAGGGTAAGCCCATAGGACAGGACCAAATCCACATTGAGGTTTGGCTATGTTTCGTGGAGATGGGTGTGCAGTGGCTAATGAGACTCTTCCATGTCATCTTCAAGACTGCCAGGATGCCCAAAGAGTGGAGGCTTAGCTTGGTGGTTCCGCTCTATAAGTGTTGCTCAATGCTGTGGTAACTATCGTGGCATAAAGCTACTTAAGGCCTGTCTGTTAGCAGCTTAGTGAGACTCGCAGTTTATTCGGTCAGCTATACTAGACTGTTTGGTAGTGGCTTGATGATATAGAAAGTGGCTTATTCAGTAAGCTTCTAAGGGGGGCCTTTATGCAGAAAGCCGAATTTTTTCCAAACCTGTCCTCAATTAAGAAAATGCTCCTTTCATCTGTGAAAAAACCCTCCTAAACAAAAACCTTCATAGTCTATAAAGACGGATTAATCCACAAAGACAACTTTAAGTGGAGGCTTAGCTACACAGTACATGCTAGAAAATGCTGGTAACTGATTCTTGGAATTGCCTTCTATCCTATGCATGAATTCATGTTCAACTTCATTTGTCTTTTTGTTTGTATACATGGATTATGAAGGATTTGTTTCATTGAAGTCAATGCCACTAAGGGTTTATTTTATTTAATTATTTATTCTTAATATATTATTATAATTTGTGGTGGTAGCAGACTAGCAGTGTTTCAATTTAGTTTTATTAGGCTTTAAATCTTTAAATCTTTCATTTTGTTGGTTGCGAAGGTGTTGCGGAGCTTAAGTGAGCACAATCAAGAACCTGTGCGTGGAGCGAATACCAGATGACGTTTGGTCGTTTTTTGCCTTCAGGTTTTGCTGCTAAATCCTTGTAATTTTGCATCTGTTCACAAGGTTTGAAAGACGAAATCACTTGTTTGGTGGCAAGTGAAGTACATACTAGTTTCTTCTGGTTTCCCTTTCTTTTGTAGCGTTTTCGCCTCCGATTTCCTTTGGTATTCTAGCTTCTGAAATAATTGACCTGCGGCATACGTTTGCCAGCAAACGTTTGAGATTATTTATCTTAGTTGAACGACTTATATGATACCGAAATATAAATTTTGAACATAAAACATCTTTATCCATGTTGCATTTTGATGGTTTAACATGTTAATGATATGTAATTATCTTTTCATTATGGTAATTTTCAGAGAGGCTTAGAGGTCGTTTACCAAATGCTTACTTGGATAAGCGCTTACCAAGTCACATCCCTTACCGGATGAATATGGCAAGGACCAAGAATCTTACATGGTTAGAGCGAAGGCACAGACCGAGAGTCTTACCCGGTAAGTGATGGTGATGACTCTTACCATGGTTAGCGCTTACTAGGTAAATTATTACATATGATGTCTTTTTGGTAGACTAAAATCTTACCCAATTAGTAAGCGATAGAGTTGAATTTTATCATTAAGCGCTTACCAGGTAAGTGTTTAGGTAGACGGCCCTTTACTTGATATGAGTATATGTTGTGGTGGACTTGGATTTAATAAACCACATGTCAGAACCCATGATTACCGAGGGTTGTTTACCAAATTCTTACCAGGTGTCAATTATCTTACTTGGTAAGCATGACAAGGACCGCGAATCTTACCTGGCAAGAGGCATAATGAATACCAAAAATCTTACTTGCTAAGTGATGGAGAAGATTCTTACTCGGTAAGCGTTTCCCTGGTTAAAAGACTCTTACCAACAGTCTGGATAGCCGAGAATGTTACACGATAAGGTAAGTGAAGGTGACTGTTGTCGATAAGCGCTTACCCGGTAAATGTTTTGTAAACGGTAAATAAAAGACCAGAACTACATGAAAAGGGATGTTTTCATTTCTTAGGCATTCTTAGGTGAGCAAGAAGGCCTGAATCTGGGCCAGGACCAGTCACATTTTGAAGAATGCTTAAAGAGGGAATGGTTAAGGAATTATAACCTGCCGGTTGTGTTAGATATAATTTTTCTAAAATGATCGGTTAAAGGACCGGTTATCGGAGGACTAGTTAAGGTTGACCGGTTAGTCGGATTTTTGTCTTTTTCTCGGTTACAAACCACCGGTACCAAAATCATAAAATCGATTTTAATTGGCTAAGAGACAAAAAAGATAATAAAATGACCAAAGTGCTCCTTATTTGACGGAAGCTTTTACAGTGAGGGACCAAATCCGGAGGGTTTTGCAAACCATGATGGCTATGTAATTGCGAACAGGAACAAAACCTGCTATTTTCAACAAACTACAGGGATCAAATTTGAAGTTTACTTTGTTTCTTGACAAGAAATACAAACAATTTGTGGACTATATTTAGGGCTTGTTTGTTTTTTTATTAAAAAACTCTTATCAACATCTTAGTTTGATTCGTTAAGAGGTAAGATCATTCAGACTGTTTGGTTTTTTTTCAATTTTTCAGAGACACTTATGTCTTATTGTCCTACTTATTTGGTAAGAGGTAAACCAACCTCTTATTTGCCTCATAGTGTTCTTCAAACCTTCAACTATCATTTCTCTCAATCGATCCTTACCAAATCAATCCTCGCCTCTCTCAATTGATGTATTTTAATAGGATTTAAATATGTTAAATACAATTTTATTGATATATTTTTGTTTAAATGAATGTTAATTATATGATTTAGATGTACATTTCGTACTAGTGAGGAATAAATATGTGAAATTCTAGATTCAACACTAATTCAATTAGTAAAATATACAATTTAAAGATATTTATCAATTTACAAAAACAAACAACATTATTGATTCAGATTTCATACTTTAGCATAAATGAGAAATAAAATAAGATTTCAAATTTCAACACCTCTTAAAAACCAAACGCCACCTTAGTCTTATTAATAACTTGTAATGATTATTAATTAACAAATCATAAATTTGCGAGTAACTCTTTTGGAGAAAATGTTATATTTCAAAAACAGAAAATGTTACGTTTTGACTTTTAACTTTACGTAAAAAGAGTCATTCTTAACTCGAATATCCAAATATTCATCTAATAGACAACAGGGTTTTTTAATTGTGGACCAAAAACGATATTACAGTCTCAATTATTTGCAAACCTTTTAATAGAACTTTTTATGGAACATGATACTTATTAAGATAACCAAATTTTATCAAAGGGTTTTTGACCTAGCGGTATGTGAGTCTTTCGCCTCGTAGAAGGTTAATGGTTCAATTTGGTGAGCATTATGTGTAAGTTTATTTGTTCTATTTACCGTATATAAACATTATATATCAAATAAATAACCAAATTCTAAATAATGTAACATTTCCTTTATGAAATCTTTGGTATCAAACCCTAAAAAATTGTTATCATACAACATTTCTTGGCCACAAAGAGAAGACCAAGTCATGCATAGCATATATATGGTTGAACCCACCACGTGTCAACATGTTGTTAGAAAAAGCCACGTGTCGAATGCGTATATGTTTATATATCCTTTTTCTATATATGCCAAAATTAAGTTTTTGGAATTCTAGAGGTAATAAATAATTAGATTGGATCGTATTTGTGAATTGATATAATACGTAGATTAGACGAAAGGTAAAAGACCGATTACGTACGATGAGCCAAGAACGGCTTATGAAACCCCAAGAATCTGGGGAAGAAGCTAGTCGTCAGAATCAACGTAAAGGCGATGTTAGCGTAAGCGATAAGGCCACGGAGAGTCTTTCCACCAAACGCAATGACGACGTCCAGGTCAGTCTTAAAACCAGCAAACGTATGTCGTCAAGTGTTTAGCTTGGTGGTCGTAGGTTCAACTCGGATTATTTGGAAGAATAATCTTATGACGTATTTCTTTCTTTAATTAATGCATGGTATTTTAATTGATTTTTAGGCATTGGTCTTGTGTTGATTTAAAAAATGTGTCACAAATGTTGGCCATCGCCTTCGTGTTTCTAGAGAGACCTAAGAAGCCACATTTACGGCATACGAGCATTTATTTGTGCTCGTTTGTTTAACCTGAACTAGATAAACGAACAAACACGATAGAATGAGCAGATTTCCTTGTTTGTGTTCGTTTTCGTTTGTTTGGTAAGATGCTAACGAACATAGAACACGATCACTTCTTCTAAACGTAAATTATTTAGAGTAAATTGCAAATTTGGTCCTTGTGGTTTGTCAAAAGTAACATTTTTTTCTCCCTACAGTTTTTAAATTACAAGATGGATATCATGATTTGTAAGAACGTCTGGGTTTGATCTTTCCCTCCAACGCTCCGTCAAAAAGTTCCTTTAAATAAGCAAGTTTTTTACTGTTATTATCGTTTTTTTGTCTTTTAGCCAACCAAAACCCACAGGGACCAAAATCGTATAATTGATTTTGATTGGATAAAAGACAAAAAAGTCGATAAAAGAACAAAAATACATCTCATTTAACAAAAAAATTAACGGCCGTTAGAGAAAGAGACCAAATCCAAACGTTTTCACAGATCAAGATGGTGATCTTGTAATTTCATAACTAGAGAGACAAAAAACGTTATTTTTGACGAACCACAGGGACCATAGTTTACTCTATTATTATTGAAAGACTAGGGAGTTACTTTTATCCCAAAAGATCCACACGATCATTGTTCTCATAATCCACTGACCCGACCCAAACCGATCCACTTTAAGGGAAGGTTTGCCAAACGTTTATTTGGGTAAGTGAAAACCAAGTCACATTATCTTACAAAATAAATATGGTAAGGACCAAAAATCTTACTCGGTAAGAGCGAGACAATGACCAAGAGTTTTCTTACCCAGTAAGTGATTGCTGCATACGGTACCGTTTTGCTGGATTAAAATCTTATTCGGTAGGTAAATAATAATATTAAATTTTACCGGTAAGCGCTTACCGGTTAAGTGTTTGATAAACGACCCCTAAAAGTTAACTTGTTTGATCTGTTTCGCCAAACTGTATGTGAAACCTCTGATACGTCCAGTGTTCTAGAACACAGTCTGTGTGACAATATTTTATGCAAGAATTGTGATGATAATGAATTAACAATTTCAAGCCAAAAATGCATGGCTGAACTGAAGGTTGGCCGGAAAAACAGTCAGCAAGCATCACCAGTGGTGGCAGACGCCATATTTGAACGAGGAAACATCACCATTGGAGAAGCACTGGAAGCCACAGCTCTAACGGCAGGTAGTAGGCCGGTGGATTACAGTGATGCTGCCGCCATACAAGCGGCCGAAGTCAGGGCCACTGGTCGAACCAATATTGTGCCCGGTGGTGTTGCTGCCGCCGCTCAATCGGCGGCCACCCGAAACGCTCGAGTCACACGAGATGATGACAAAACCAAGTTGAGCGAGATTCTAGCGGTAAATATACATCCCTCTCCTCTTCTAATACTCTAGTGTTTACAACGTTAATATTTAATACACACACCCAAGGATCGTGTAAGAATAGAAGTTAAGGTTGAAGCATAAGAAGGGATTTGATCATATTTAATCTCATTAATGTGGATCTTCAATTAAGATTGATCAAAATGTGAAGATCTCTTCTTACCTTTCTTACCATAACTTCTATTCTCACTCGAATCCAACAAAATATATATATATATATATATATATATATATATTATGAAATATTATAGGGAAAAAATTATCGATGGATCAACGCAACCCATTTTGACTAGACCTAAAACTTTATCCTAACCACAAGGGCGGTGCCCATTTGAGCTTGGGCTCCAAAGGTCAAAAGTGTCTGGTGGTCCTAGGTTCGAATCCAAGAGGAATAAAAATCTTTTTTTGACCATGGAGATTCAAATGCGGCGACTCCAGCTACCCGCAAAGTTGGTGGTCACCCTGAGATTAGTCGGCTCGCATAGCGGGTTGGCTATCCAGGTTAATAATAAAAAAAAACTTTATTCATTTGACCCATTATGCAACTATTTGATTCAGACAATCCATGATTCAATCCCAGACATCCACAAGAATTATGGTCACTGAGTTATCAAAGTTGATGTCTTACGGTCACAATTTAGAATTAGTCTAGACACAGCCCTGGACCCGACTAATTCTTAAAGCATTTGATGTGAAACAGGAAGCAACTTCAAAGCTACCGGCGGACAAACCGGTGACACGTAGAGATGCAGAGGGAGTCATCGGAGCAGAGTTGAGAAATGATCCGAACCTGACTACCCGTCCTGGCGGCGTCGCAGCGTCGCTCGCTGCGGCCGCAAGGATAAACCAAATTAACCTAAATCCCCCGAACAAAGAATGAAAATTTGACCATATTACGATAAATCTTGGTGGCCTTTTTTCCTTCCTAATAACAATTAAATTTATTGTATTTTGATGTTTGTGTATTGAATTACAATGTATAGTACAATATACGAAGGGGCGAATTTGTAACTTTTTATGTTAATTACGATAGAGGATCCTCGTCGGTATTTTGATCTTGTAGGTATCGGTTTTGTTGATTAACGAACTATAGTTGACGATCTCGATAAAAATGATTCCGTTTTTATTATTATTTTATTTTAACAGGTAGATTAAAATATTTAGCGGAAAAAAAAGGGTCTGGTGTATATCAAAGGTGTTCATCTAAACCGTTAAACTGCACCAACATACTGCACCATAATGCGATGTTTAAAACTTTTGTGGTATAGTTTACGGTTTTGAATCATCAAAACCTCGGTTGAACCCGCAACGTACCGCTTATTTTTATATATTTTTAAAAAATATATTATATATACATATTATTTATCAAATGAAAATAGTTAATACATGATTGATTATTTAATTAATTTTCAATTTTTCTATTAATTTTATGTTACAAATTTTTTATTTGAGTTATTTTTTTTATTTTTTTTATTTTTTTTAATCAAACATGATAATCAGATTTATTTTAAAGTTCACTTTTAGATGCCACAAAGTTTGTTTTTAAACCAAAAGATCTTTATCCTGGCAGTATGTGAGTCATTGGCCTCCTAGCAGATCAGATGTTCAAACCTCACCAAAGGTAGGAAGAGTGTGAGTTTATTTGTTCTATTTGTCGTATATAAATATTATATACTTCAAAAAAATCAAAAAAATGTTATTAAAGATAAGGGCATTTTGGTCTTTTAAGTTTTTTTTTTTTGTATTTTTCCTATTTAGAACTAAAAGAATACAAGTCATAAAATTACTAATTCACTCATTTTTCAAGTTCTTATCCATTTTATTTTTTACAATAAAAATAAATTACTATTTTTTTAAAATTAAATTATCTAATAATCAATATCTTACTTTAATAAATTATAATTTAATATCAATAATGATATATATTTTTTAGAATTAATATATGAATTTGGGTTATAAGTTTAAATTAATTTACATACAAGTTATTATTAAGATTCACATGTGAATATATATTATGATTCACAAGTTCACGTATGAACCAATATACAATTTATCAGCACCGTCAGACAATGGTTCGTTGGAATCTTTTGTATTTATTTTCATTTCAAAAGATCAATGAAGAACATCGCACATATGAGATTTAATTTGATTTATGGATTGTAAAGTCGTTAATGATTTTATGGTGGAAGATTAAATCAAAAATCAATGATTATTAACATCCAAAATGGTTATAGAAAAAAGAGAAGATAAATTAAGATATTTAATTTTTCTAGAATTATTTTAATTACCATATACTATATATTTATTTTATATATATATATATATATATATGTATATATGTCTTTCATTTAAATATAATTTGTAATAATAGATAAGATTGATTATCGCATTCTCAATATAAATGTGATTCTCATTTGAATCTAACACACAGACACACATATAGATACATATATGCATACATATATATATATATATATGTGTGTGTGTGTGTGTGTGAGAGATAAATGATCGTATGAGAAGGAGGGTTAAGGTAAAAAGGATAAGAAAGAATTTGGACCATTGATCATCTTTAATCTCAAACTCATTCATGAATTGCGCTTGATATGGGGGATTAATTTGGTGCTTCTCATCCTAATATGCATCCAATGGTGGAGATCATTTCTTACGTTTCTCACGTTCACTTTCTTTTTCATCGGAACCCAACTCTATATACATATATTTATATATACATACATATATATATACACACACACACACACGTGTATGTGTGTGTATGTGTGTGAATTACATTGAAGGTCCTCGTGGTTTGCTCAAAATTTGGATATAGTCCCTTAAATTAACTATATGTATTTAGTGATCCCTAACTTTTTATTTTCTAACACCTACGCTCCCTCGAGTTAACACTCTTAAATAAGGTTTGCTAAGTTTTTCTTTCAAAAAAATAACTTACTATTAAATATTATACATAGAAAATACTTGGATAACGTATGGTCGCTATCCAAATACAATAAATCATCCCTTTTAGATCACAATTTTCGTATCGGAATAATCCAAATGAAATCTCAAAGACATTAAACAGATTCATGTTCACATTCGGTTTTATTTGAGAGATCGACGGAAGAAATGCCGAACCTTCTATTTCTCAGACTAGACCACAAACCCATACAAAGAAATGCCAAATCTTCTATTTCTCTGTTACAAAGGATTACAAGTATATAGCCAATTTGACCCACAAATTTCACAAGTAAAAGACAAAATTACCCTTCCTGGTTCCTATTCTAAGGTAAATCAACAAGTATAGCCAATTTGAGCTACAAATTTCACAAGTAAAAGACAAAACTACCCTTCCGGGATGATATTCTACGGTAAATCAACAAATATGGAGCAAGGTCGCTACACTAACTTGATCAAAGTTGTATCCAATAACATAAATAGCAGCTCTCAATCAAGTTTCCAAAACTCTTTGGTAGAAAAGCAAGGTAACCCCATCTGCAGCAAGAACATCTTCCTCCGATACCATACAAACTCGGCTATCCGAAACTCCAACCCAGTAATAAGACTCCGATGTTCCACGATTCTTTATTACTCTTCTGTAAACTGTATAATGACCGCTTCTCGTATTTCCAAAGTGTTCCACTACAGAAACAAGATTATACGAATGATGTCCACTTGGCGTCACATTCAAGGTCTCGCCCACCTAAACAAAGTGATGCAAAAATCATGAGAATCATCCTCAAACGACCTGGTTTTGCCAATCTTGGTCTGTCCTATTTTTACTGTATGTCAGTCTAAGTTTTTCCTGCTTTTACTATATGCCAAGCATAACTTTTCTTCTTCTTCTTCTAGCAGTTGTCAGTACTGCACTTTGTGTTTCGATGTTTGCTTTATCTTATGTCCGTCTCTGCTATTTCTCTTGCTTGTTTCCTTCAAATTTTTGTTTTGCAAGTTGAGGGTCTTCACAGAAACACCATGTCTACCCTTGAGGTGTAAACAAGGTCTGCCTATATCCTACCCTCCCCTACCTCTGTGTGGGAATTTAACAGAAACATAAAATTTGAGGTTCGTTTACACCCTTTTTCTCTGTTCTCCATTTTCCCCCCTTTAAGTCGACAAAAATAAGAGAATAAGTACATACAAATTTTAAGGATCAGATGTCAAAATGAGAAACATAAAAATGTCGAACTTTAGACTCAAAAGACATATCAAACTTGAAGAAACGTGTCTAAACATAAGGCCTTGTTTTGTCCAACTTTTGTCTCTCTCCCAAACCAAAAGTAAAACTAGACACACAAAAAACCGAAGATATGTGCAAGTTTCGTGAAACATTATGTATAAAGATTATATATGAGGATACAAATACAAATATATGGGCAACCTGTATCCATTTTCCTCATTTTGCAACCCTAACTCTAGGTGAACTGAGGACGGTAGTTTAGTATCATACACATATTTCCCTAGATATAAGTGGGATATACTAGGTTCGTTTGGTTTAGTCACAATACAATAGCTTAGTCCAAATCATATATATCTAACATGAACAAAGGATAGAATTAAATATCAGCCTTAATCAGAGAAGTTAAGAACATAGGAGGATACAAATATAAATAAAAGGTCATATGTATCATTTCCCTCTTTTTGCAACCCTAACTCTAGGTAAGGAGGGTAGTTTAGTATTTTACCCATATAGCCCTACTGACAAGTGGGATATACTGAGTTCATATGGTTTAGTCATGATACACTAATCATTACCGGCAAATCAAAGCAAAGAAGTCAAATATTCGCATCTAAGTTATAGCAATTATCTTGAATCGAATATATCTTCCATGTTTAATTTTACTTCTCTTATATTTCCGTCTTCCATCGTTTCATTCAATAACCCAATCCAAACAAACCCAGTATATCCCACCCTGAGGTGGGGTAAGGGAAGGGTAAGATCTGCAAAGAGTAGAGGGGTTGCTTCCATGAAGACCCTCGGCTTATGTGAAGTGGGGCCAAAAATATTTTAGACCAAATAATGTCTCTATTTGATGTAACATAATTATCACAAGCAATTAACAAACCTTGCTATCTTGATGTGTAGTAGTATTCGCAGAGTTGTCTGAACAGCTTTTGTTTTGTTCTTCCTGAATTTCTCCGTCAGCATAACCTTCTGATGAAGGTTGTCGGGTTTCCTCAGCAATATATGTTTCTGTTAAACTGTTTTCCGTTCCTTGTTTGTATATATGACGTGGGTATGCATCGGTTTGTAATCTAAAAAAGTCAGAATAACGATTTGCCTGTTGATTTTGCTGTACTAATCTACTGATTGGCAACTTCTGGTCAGAATGCTGTATTCCAACTCCTCTATTCTGAAACGGCGATATGTTCAAAGTCAAGGGAAAAGATATATGACCCTGAAAATATAAACATTGGTTATGAATAGCGAAGGGAAAATGTAATGCACACGAACGAGCAACGTTTTGCAAAAGAAAACAAGTACCTTAAGCTTGACGAATTCCCCATATACATTGATTGAAGCACGTTGTAAGTTAAGGCATAAAATCTACAAGTATACCAACATATTCGTTAAGAGTGCAAGTACATTACTAGTAAAGGTTAAAGAATACGCCATATCTGTTAACAAGGCTAAGAGGCCGTTTACCAACACAAATCAGGTAAGAGCTAACCGAGGAAGAGCGTGGTGTGGGTAAGCACGGACTGAAAATGGTTGTTTACCAAGTGTCTTGGTAGCGCTACCGCACCCCTTCCTTACTAAGTCATTGTGGGCCAGAGTGTTTGTGTAACATCCCCGGCCAACCATACCAGATACTGTCTGTTTTATCCGCACTTGGACTCACAGTTTTAGAATGCGTCTGAAACAAATAGATGCCAAAGCAAGACTAGAGGAAGACGAATTACTATTATCAATTAGAAGAATTTATGGTTGGCTTAGTTGGACCAGGGAAACTACAGGATCTAAAAGAATATCCTAATCCTAGACGAAGTATCCGGTCCCTTATAAGGCGAACCTTTGTTCCCCTCCCCAACCAGTGTGAGATCTCACAATCCACCCCCCTCATGGAGCCCAACATCCTCGTTGGGACACCAATCCGGTTCCTAGCTCTGATACCATTTGTAACATCCCTGGCCAAAAGTACCAGATATTGTCCGTTTTATTCACATGGACTCACGGTTTTAGAACTTGTCTGATAGAGGATGTGTCCAGTCCCTTACAAGGCAACCTTTATTCCTCTCCCCAAATGATATGGGATCTCACAGGTTGGCAAACAACGACCCTTCTTAACGGATTAGCATCCCTTCTTACCTCGTAAGAGGCGGTCAACAAGTACTAAATACAAAGAAATTCAACCCCGAGGGCTGGTGCTGTTACCTTTGGACTACGTGCAATATGTAACTGCTTGAAAGTACGAGAATAGTTATTTGACCAAGGTAATGATCCAAGAGATGGTATATTTTTACAGTCGCATGTATCCTGCTTGCTACAGCTTCGAAGTTTTCCAATATCTGACTGACAATTTGGGCAGGAATACCATGTTAGTACAACTCAATCATTAGAAATCTAATGAAATGAAATCTTGGTAGAAATATGATAAAATTAGTTGATATCAAGGGCTTAAAAGTTAATGAAGTTGGTGAAGATTTCAAAATCTTTTATCATAATAATAGCGCAAGAAACATAATAGAATTGTTTTGTGATTACTAGTGAAAATTTCACGAATGCATAATACAATAATGGGCCACATGGGTCGTGACAAAAACATTGAAACAAACTAATACGAATGAGAGGAATGAGAAACACAAATGTATAAATACGAAGACTAACATAAATTGAAAGTCTGTGTATCTGCCAAGTGTCGAGAGCTAGGTGCCATGTGGAAGCAACGCTCTCGTGTGGTTATCTCAAGTCCTATCGTAAAGATCCATGAAACATATTAAAAGTTCCCCAAAGTTGGTGAGTTTCTTTAGTGAGAATGCCATGTATTAGGATATGTGGAACCCCCTTAAAACTCTCTCTAAAAGAGCCTTTATAGAGAGAGGGAGGTTCCTACACATATACATGTGCGATGGACAATGTCTAGCTGATGTGGAACTCCAACACGGCCCCTCAAACAAAAATTACATAGTGCGCCTAAGAACAGAGGCGAAAGAGTGTGTCGAGTCCCTACTAGAAGCCGGCTTTAATACCATATTAGGATATGTGGAACCCCTTTGAATCTCTATAAATGAGCCCTTACAAATAAAGGGAGGTTCCTACATATACATTATATATACACACACATAGGGTCAGGTTCAGGGGAAAACCACAAAAAAATGAAATTTTGAGAAACGCTCTGGTAACCATTCATATGGACGGTATGCACATGTGCATACAAGTAATTTGTAAGCAATTTGTTCAGTATGCACACGTGCATAAAAACCAAGGAATAACTTCAATTACTTGTACACATGTGCATACCATCCAGATGAATGGTTACTAGGATGTTCCTCAGTTTTCCATTTTTTGGGGGGTTTTCGCCTGAATGTATATATATATATATATAGAAAGAGAGAGAGATGATTGATGGGACTCCTATGTGGGACTCCATCACTTAGCATATCCATTAATCAAACATCTCTCTCTCTCTATATATATATAGAGAGAGAGAGAGATGTTTGATGGGACTCCATGTGGGACTCCATCACTCATGGTTGCAGTACTCACCTCATTTTGCTTTAGCAAAGAATATTTGATGGCGGTGGCATGCCAACAGTGAGTGCAAAAGTAGTTTTCAAGCCTTTCAGCAACAAAAAATTGCTTCAGGCAATCGTCTATTGAGCATCCAGGTATCTGATACAATAAGACCACAAGAAAAATATATACTAGTTTGCTTATATAACAACAAAATCCAAGAAGATAAGACACAAAGAGTTTACAAACTTACAATAGAACTACCCCCGTATGTAGGTGGTGAAAGGTACAAGCAATTGAAGAATTGAAAATCCATAGAAATCTGCAAAACCAACAAAGCAACCTGAGATGTGTAACAAAAATTTACTATTTTAACCCTCTGTCTGAATAAGCAATGAATGAAAAATAATTGTTTGATAAAGTTTTGCATGACAATTCTGAATGCAAAAAACAAAAATTTATGAATTGTTTAAAAATAATATCAATTCAATGATTTCATCACAAAAACTTAATAACTTAAAATTTACAAAAAAGGATTCAACATCGTAGTCCGATTACAACTTTTAATTTACACATTTGTTAGTAGCAAAGCTGAATTTAAGAAATCGTATAATTAAACAAAGTAGGATAAAGGGTATTATTGGTAAAATTTGGGCTGAATAGCTAAAGCCTAAAGCCTCCATGGGTGGTTTAACCAATTAAGCCATCTGTTTAATATTAAGCAAAAATCAAACAACATCTTACTAGTGTTCTAAAAACAACATTCATATCTAGCAAATATCTGCTTATATTTGCAGCTAGAGTTAGAAACCAACGATTACTGAACAAGAAATAAAGACACTAGTACCATTCAACCTGAAACGAACAGCTTTGGCAAGTTAAAATGCTGCCAACAATCCCGTTAAATGGTCCAAGGAAACTCTGAGTCCATCTTTCTAGCTCACTATAAAAAACCCTTCTCTCCGGAGTAAGAATACGACTACCCAAGGCTGTTGCAACCGCTAGAGACTTATGATTTGAGGCAAAACATACTGAGCATTCTTTCCTTAAAGAAGACAAAATGTGGGCTAACGCCTCTTCTGCATCCTGAAGAAAAGTTAATATATCAAAAAGAAGATGATAAACAAAATGCTCAATGTGCTAGTGATGATAGAAGCACCTGCTGACTAGTTAAATTGAAATTAGGTGTATAAAGAGCCATTGCGAGCATCACATCTCGTGGACTTAATACTTTGCCTTCACGCTGAACTTTACACAGTTCTACAAAAATTGCCGCCTGTTAGTTCATAGTGTAGAAGAAAACTATCATCAAGTTAAACACCAGTTACAAATGTCCACAAAGATATACTCCCTCCGTTCCAAAATAAGTTTTCATGTTTCTATTTTAGTTTGTCCCAAAATAAGTGTCTACCCTCCATTTCTACCCTCAATTATGAGATGAAGAAATTCATTACTCTCTCTTGTTACAATTGTCATATAGTTAATCAAAAGATGTTATAATCACACATTACTAAAACTGTGTGCGATTTTCATTGTGGACGCTTATTTTGGACGGAGAGAGTATATCGCATGGTAATAGAACACAAATGAGAAAGTAATAACGAAAATCATGAATAAGATGCATGTATTGATGCTTTAAATGGTGTTTGTTGCATATCAACTTGCTTTAATTGCTTTGAGTGTCAAATGATCTGTTTGATGGTTAAGTGATGATATAGTTGTGTTCTTTTATGATTTTCTATAGCTTTTGTAATTACTATTCAAGTTTCATTTAAATTAAATTCACATTAAAATTGCAGATCGTTTCACCTCAGTCAAAATGGACAAATTAGGCCGATACTGAAATAGTCCCAACACCCCAAGAATGTCTATTGATCAAGTTTTCCACAATGTGGTCACATAAACTATGGGAAAAGTGAAACTCCTACCAAAACGTCCCCTTACTCTGTAACCCAAAAATAAAACTTCTGGGAGGTTCGCAAAGAGATGATAACTCCAAATGAGAGCTGAAGGAAATATGGGAAAGGCTGCAAACATGTTACTGAGTTTGTTTGGTTTGGTTCTCCCCTGTAAACATAATTCTGCATATACTGAAGAACTTATAACTCAAAATACACATTTTTCCTATTGTTTCCTATCACGAAAACAACACAACCAAAAGGTACATTGGTTGGCCTTTTAATTCATAAATTGCATCCTCTAACCATAAACAATTCGAAATATGGTCATGTCGACATTGTTCTAGGCAACCAAATCCAACATGGCTTCTATAATAACTTCCAAATTCTGATTCTCTTCCAAACTTCTTCTCTGAAATTACCCAAACAGAACACCAAGTCTATGTATATTTTGTTTCCCATCTGAAATAAGCAATAATTTTGTCCTTCTAAATGATAAGAGGCAAGCTCAGGTTGGATTCAGATGTCATTTCAATATTTTATTAATTATTACTAGTTTGTGTGTATAGAAAAAGATCCTAAAAATTCATTCTATTTATATACATAAAATTAACAAAACATGTGCATTAGGAATGACTGATCAGATGAAACAGTCACATATGGTTCTGCTAAATCCCCTAAGTGCCAGAAGGTCTCTCAACATTTGATGATATGGATCAATTTGTAAAAGGGGGTAAATCTTGATTTTGTTATTACCTTTCAATAGATAATTCAACGACACTGCAAGTGGCATAACCCCCTTTAGTTCGTCCTCCGATGAAGCTTCAAACTCGTCCACCATCTTTTGGAGGGAATTCAAGAAACAAGAACAACTAGCCAAAGCCTAACAAATTCCCAATTTAAACACATAAATTGAGTAATTCACGCCACTGAAATTGATAAGAAATTCATAATTTCATTGCAGTCATGTAAGAAGTACAACAAATATATACATATCGGCATTAAACAATTAATAAGTTCTAAAGATTGTAGTACCTGTAAAACTACATTTAAGAAACAATTGTTTCCGAGGTTTTGCAATCCAGGAACTGCCCACAATTCCTCCGGCGAAGATTTGCTCTCCGACGACGGCGACCATGATAACAAATTGTTGAAACTCCTCCTTCCTCTGCCGTCTCTTAAGGCCAAAATCAAACCAGCAACACTCAGGATACTACTGGCCAAAGAGATTTGAAACCCAGATGAAGTAACCCAGTGGGCGTTATGAGAAAAGCTTCTAAACCCATGTCTGAATGAATGAAACAGCGATTGAGCATTGACGTCGCCGTGGATTTTCATTTTCTTGCTTCAAGAATCAATGGATACTGTTACCGATTTGAAACTAGGGTCATTGAGGTATAGTCTGCCGGTTGGGATGGCGTGGCGGAGCAGTCATCTGCGGTTACTTGATTGTCAAACCCAACACCGTCTCTTGTTTACTTTAACAGAAAAACGCAACATCTTCTTTACATTTATTTTACTTCTTTGAGTAAATTTACGCTTTTAGTCCTCTCCTTTTTTAAAATTTGTTATTCTTGTCCCTGTAGTTTTAAATCATAAATAAATTATATCGTTATTAAACATAAATTAAATTATAATAAAAATAAATAAATTAAAGAAATTACCAAGAAAATAAAACAAAAACTTTTAAATAGTTAATTTGATACTAATATCGATATATCTTTTTCAAAATTTTATGATATCTTCAAATTTATATTTTATTCAAAAATAAAAACATTATCGTTTTTTCGAAATCACATAAAACCATATTATAACATCGACGATGACAGAATAAAACGAAACAAGAAAATCGAGATTTATCTCGCTATATTACGCGAATACCCTTCTAATAATAATAAAACACAAACCACAGTAAACATAACTCCGAAACCATATAGACAAAAGTAATTATTTTTAACATATCACAAGGACTAAAAACGTAGTTTATTCTACTTTTTATCAATCATTGTTTGAAATCAATAATTTTAGAATATTTTTTATTTTATTAATAAGAAACATTTTAGACTAAAGAAAAGACAGTTGAATATTTTATCTGATATGATATGAAGTCTTGATTTTGATTTGGTGTTCTTAGTTTTTTTCTTCTCAAGTCAGATCCAAATTTACTGAATTCCATCGGTTTTCTAGGTCGGTCTTGTACTTCGTTCACTATTTAGAAACCTCGTGTTTTTGTTTTCCTATTATAAAGAATAAATTACATTTTTCGTCTCTATGGTTTGTTAAAATTTGTGGATTGCTTCCCTGTGGTTTTAAAATTTTAATTTTCGTCTTTATGGTTTACAATTCATTTCTATTTTCGTTTCTTTGGTCAAAGCACTACTTTTATTAATAAAGGACTAAAATAAAATTTTATTTTTAATCATAGGAACAGAAAAAGAAATAAATTCTAAATCATAAGGATGAAAAAGATGATTAATTATAAATTATAGGGATGAAAATAGTAATTTTAAAACTGTAAGGACAAAAATATAAATTTTTAACAAACCATAGGGACTAAAAACTAAATTTACTATTAAATTATAAATGATAATAATTAGAGATTTAATGTTTCGAGTTGGTTGCCCAAAACTTGCCTTAATAATTGATCCCAAGTGTTTGTTGGAATAATCGTACTGAGGCAGCTATTGTGAATTAAAAAGAAGATGACATAATGAGAATGTTGTGGATCAAAATTCTTTAAGGGTGCGTTTGGTATGCAGACAACATGGGACGGGACGGTATAAAAAAAATAGTCTCATGTTTAGCATGTCATGGACAAAAATTACATGAAACAAGATGAGACTATTTTTAAATTTGATAGGACAAAAATCTGATGATTTTTGTTCCACCAAAAAAGGTGGAACAACATGGGACTAAATACAAATTTACTATCTTACCCTTGTTCCAATAGATTCTAATAGATTAAAATAGAAAACCTAATTACTAACCCTCCTTCATCATCATCTCTTTTCTCGCCCGTTCCACGAGAGCTCCTTCCACATCGGTATGATTTCTCCCTCTCGTTTCTTTGCTGCGTACGATTTCTCTTTGCTGCGTCGATTTCTTTTTTGCGATTCTTTGGTGCGTCGATTTCTATTTTGCGATTATTTGCTGC